GGCCGACAAGACACTTTGTCTTGGCCTGACCCTAAAAAAAAAACTTTTTGTGCTGTTGATCCAAAACGTATGACGAAAGAGTGAATGGAATATTATGCCGAGAGAACTAAAATTTACGGAGGAAACAAAATTATGATAATATATACTGCAGGGGAAAATTATTATTTTTTAAATCTTGCACATACTTTTCACGATTTGAAGTGATTTAGATAAACGTTTCAAATTTTTTCCTGTTATAAAAATGTAGCTTTAAAAGTGTACACCCTTTAATGACGGTAATATTTTGCAAATGTCTAGCCTAGCCGCGTGGGTGTTGATCGCACCATTTTTCTCTCTATGATAAAATGCAAATTGCCAGACTCGAGAGAAGAGACGGAAGCCCTTCTCAGGCGCTGATGCTCTCTAATTGGTTGTGCAATATTGACTGGCGCGCGAGAGAGCGATGAGTAAAGTTTATGTACATTTAGGCGATAATGGAAAGTTGAGCAAGTCTGTTTATTTTCGTTCTCATGCATCCTAATGAAGCCCGCGTGCGTCCAGCAAGTCTTCCTTCCCTTTAATTTGGCGAAATTCGTCTCAGGTGCAGGACGGATAAGCCGCTTTTCCAAAAGCACTTTTCGGGGCTCGTTGCCAACAAACTCGATCAGATTGGAGGAGTTCGGATTTCGGAGCTAGTGGCGACGACAGTTTTCCCCCGAATCTCAGCGGGACCACCGATCGAGAAACCTGACACATAATTAAGTTTGAAAAGTCGGTGAATTGGTCTCCCTCGATGCCAAATGAATCGAGAAACAAACTTTTCAAGCTGGAAATAGACCCTGAAAACTCCAGCCTTGTTTAGCCCGAGACAATCAACAGGCTGTGAATAGCAAAACAGCTCTTGTTAATTATTAACCTTTGCATGTAATACGCGCTAGACACAAGTTTACCTGCGAATGCTTTATTCAGAGCGAGAACAGGCGAGTATAAGCTCTTGTTTTCCTTTTCATATGCGAAAGGCAGAAGGTCACCATGTTTACAGAGAAGATGATTTTATATCAGTTGCCCAAAGAGAAGATTTTGATGTTTAATAAAATTCATCATAATTTCAAATTTATTTTAAAAAGGGACCAATTTCAGTAGATTTGGAAAACGAAAAATGTTTAAAATTGAGAAATGATACTTTCTAAAGTATTAAAATTTTACTCATAAAATAAACAATATTTGCCTAATGCAAAAAAAACCATCAAAAATTTTAAATTAATTTATCCCGAATCTTTATCAATTCTTTGTTCCATTCTTTTGTATGCTTTTATCTACCGTAAACAAATTTCTCAAATTAATTTTTCTTTTCTGACTTATAGTGGCGGCCCATTTAATTTCTGCCTTAATCCAGAATTCTATTTGCAACAGTTTCGTCAGAGCTCCGTAAACTGGCAAACAAAGCCGCGTTTGTTCAAAGTTAGAGATCGAAACTTCGCCTGGCTGTTCCTTTATGTAAAATGTTCCAAATTGCCAAAGTTTTTTATAACAATTAATTGTGTTGGGTTTTCAAAAGCTAAAATCCAAACGAGTTTCTGCGTTTCCTTCATAATTGTTCTCTCTTTCTCTGTTGTGTATTTCTTGTGTTTCAAAGCACCTCTCCTTGTTTTCATTCCCATTAGTGCCAAATTACGGTCGCTGCTACAAAATCCTTCCACTCTTCCTAATCCGTCGTAATGAGTCTTCAACTTGGTCGTGCCGTTTCTCATTGTGAAATGTCGGCTTAAATGCCACGGGCGAGCTGAAATGACGGCCTGGCATCATTCGGACAGGGTTAAACACCGGGCGATTTTGCATTTTGGCGTTCCAAGCCTCAGAGTGGATGACAAATTTCGGTAATTAATTCCCGGCAAAAATAGCTACTGGAATTCCTCTAAGCTCAACAAGGAAGTTACGGGCTCCCATTTTCCCTTCAGAAGATAAATAGGTAGAAATAAGTGAGTGACCAAATATTTGTCATACAGATTTAAATAAAAAATCCGTTTAACAAACAAAAAATCCTCTTGTGGCTCCCGCAACAATTAAACTCTCCTTTGGCATTGATTTAGATTTCTTCAACCAGCCAAATAAAAAGAACCCGGAAATTCTGATGAGCTATTCAAAAGATGAAAATAAATCTATTCTGTCCTTTAATTAATTCATGAATTTCGTGAAAAAACTGTACAAAAATTGAAAAAGTGATTCATAATAAGATTGTATTTTAATTTAAAATAATGATTAAATAATATCTTAATATATAATTCTAGATAGAGTTGTTCCTATAGCAATCGATTCCTGCGGTTGTGACTCTCTTAGCTTTTACATCGTTACTGTGTTCCAAATTCCTCTCTATAATTGCACTAATGATGTTGTTCCTCACTGACAATATGTCAATTTTACACCCACCACTTAGCGTCTACACATTTTGGCCTGAGGCAAATAGTTGCAAAGCCATCAGCGAGGAGGATCAAAATCCAGAATTTTTTATTTTCAATTAATCGTAAATTACATACATGTTTTTTTCTTTTCTCGTAGAGCCAACATCATCATTTTGATTAAAGTAAAGAAAAAATTTCAAAGCGTTTTTTGATTCCCTCTCACACTTTGTACTATTAAATAACTCTAACTTTCGGGAATGATTTTTCATAGAGGACAAAACTTTAAAATTTTATTTTATTTGTTACTTTTGCAATTGTTTGCAATTTAAAGTACAAATTGTGTATCAAAATAAAAGAGTCTGCGCTGCAATTTTAGAGAAATTTTTTATTTGTCAATGTTAAAATTTATAAACACCTGATCAAATGACTGAATTATGATATATTGTTGCTAACAATTATCCAGCAAACGAAAATAAGTGGTACTAATTCAAATTTGATATTATTACAGGAATTAACTCATTCTTTTCATCTCATTTTTTGCATTTTTTTGAATTGCTTTTTGTTCTCGCCAAGCAGAAAAGTTGCGCCTGCATTAGGCGGGAAACTTTATTGGCATATTTTGCTTTTAGTGAAGGAGAAATTTGGGATATTTTGCATCACAAGACTCGCAATATTCTCAAGAATTCCCAGCATCCGTTTTCGTCGCTCTTTGAAATTTGCTTTGTGTATTTTTGTCGTATATTTTCGGCGCAGCTCCCTAGAGTATTTTCAATAAAAAACGCAGTGGGAGCTTTTTCCACCGGCTGGCCTGCACAAAGGAGAATTTTTTGCAAGACCGACTCGTGTAGAGGAAAATTGGAAGATGCAGAGCAAATTTTTCGGCTGAAATTAGCTTCGAAAGAGTACCTTGACGAGGAATCAAAGAAGTTTCTGCATCAAAGAGCAATAATGAGCCGGCGGAGGGTGAGAGGGGGCCGCGCTAGTTCGCGATCAAACAAAAGAGACTCATTTTCAATTAAACGCGTCTGTTTACCGTCCTTTCTGCACCGATGGGACACCAACCACTGGCTTACGTAAATTGCGTGTCCTACAAAACTCCGCCGCTTTTATGAAACATTCTCTCACGTCAACGATTATTATGTCAATTTTCGCATCGTTTGATCTATGTAAAGCTCCACGCGAGTGGAAAGTTTTCACTCCCAATAACGGCTGCTTTGTTAACGGATAATTAAAAAAATCCTGGAATTTTTACCCAATTTAATTAACCGCCGCGCCTCCATCGGCGGATAAAAATGGGACCAATCGTGTATTTTTTTCATCCATGAAAATAAAACGCACTTCATTCATTCATTGCGATTTAATAAAACCTTTTGTTGCCCATCGAAAACCCTCGATAAATAATAAAAAATGAATTTTTTGCCTTCCAAAAAAGCTTTTTCAATTAATTTTCACAGGAAATGTTTGATTAAAAATGATTTCGTTCTGCTGTCGTGGTTTTAATAAAATACCTCAGTCGGTGTGGGCGTCGGGTGGATCCCAATAGGATGATGTTATTGATCCTCAGATTATATTTAGGCTTTTACCGCAGAGACATTTATTTTTGTTGATCACTTTGTGATAAAATTAATCGTGCACCAATAAACTAATAACGAAATGCGTCACGAAGGGTTGTAAATTTCATGACAGCAGAAAGTCGTGACGGATTATGATGCTTTTTCACATCATTTTTGGCGCTTTTGCGAGTCAATCAATAAACTACGTATCAGTGATGTGTGGCGTTGAATGCCTGCAGAGATATTAAAAATGGGAAACTAAAAAAGGGTCAAAAATTCATGTTTCACGTTTAATTAAAATGTTACCACAAAAATTTTATTTTCAACTTTTTGTGTTGCAATAGAGTTTAAAGAAAATTGGACATTGGCTTTAATTAAATTCAATCAAAATTGAATTTTCCAATAAAAATACGAAAACTACCTTCCTCGACCTACGCTGAGAAAGCTCATTAATTATGGATGCAGCACGAAACAGGTAGAGCAAGTTTTATTTTTCTTGAGCAAGAACTCAAAACACATCCAGGAACATCCGGCTTTAAATTCAAATCAACCATAATTTTTGAAGATACAAATTTTTCGCCAAAAAAGGTATTATTGAATTGCATATTATAAGAATGGGCTAGATTCTGTAAAGAGTATTAAATTAAGTAAAATGATTTAGATCATGCTTTTAAATTTGTTGTGGAATTCAAAAACGAGAGAAACTGTTTTTATTCAAAATATAAAAAGACCATTTAGTTAAAAATCTGTTGGTTAATTTTAATTAGATTTATAATGATCATAGAAATCTATAATATGAACCTAGAATGATGATTATTTTTTCATTTACGATTTAGCCCTTTTTCGCCTTTTAAAGGACCTACGAGTACGTCGCGGTCGCAAATGAGACTATTTATTGGGGAAAAAGGCTTGCAAGAACGTATTTTTTTTTCTTTTGGTTGGAGGCTTGAAAATATAACGATGCCAATTATGAGCGGTGGGGCGGTGGGTTGGCCGAGGCGCACGCTCGCAATCTTGTTGGCGCTCAGAGAGGGCTCGGCGTCGTCGGCCGCACTCGTCGTCGGGCCCTCGGAGCACCAACATGTGCTCTTTGAACGGCAGCCTGGGCAACGGCAGCGGCCTGCTGGGCAACGACACGAGCGTCGACTGCCTCTTGGAGCCGCCGACGCCCGACATCATCCACAACCGCGCCGTCCAGGCCGTCTTCTGCATGCTCTACACCGTCATCTTCGTGCTCGGCATCTTCGGCAACGTGCTCGTCTGCTACGTCGTCGGCCGCAACAAGGCCATGCAGACCGTCACCAACTTCTTCATCACCAACCTCGCCCTCTCTGACATCCTCCTCTGCACCCTCGCCGTCCCCTTCACGCCGCTCTACTCATTTGTGGTGAGTTTCTCATAAATTGCGACATCTTTTTATTTGTGATAATGAAGCAGTTTATAATTATGAAGTTTCTTCAAAAGAAAAAAAGTCCCTTTTTAGGACCAAATTTTAGTTTGAAAAATTATTATTATTAGATTATAGTAAATTAAGGATTTAATCTCATTTTCAAATATTGAAGTATCACAGTGGTGATAACAAGTTGCATGAATAATAATTTCCAAGTAAATAAAATGTAATTTGATGAAGAGAAGGAAGGAAAATTACAGATATTGCAAACAGTACAATTTGATAATTTTATTCTAGAATTTATCCCAGCACTAATTTTTACTTGCACAGTGCTATTTTTCCATTTTATTGGGCTTTTTAAAACAGATATTAAAAATTGGACGACAAAATTTTTATTTTAATTGCGTAGAAAAAATTATAATTAACATCTCTCAATCGGGATATTCCAGCAAATAAGAGTCTGAAAATAGTCTCTAATTGAGAAGTCTCAAAATAAGCAAGACAGTTAATAATCATAATCACGCATTAGTCTGCAAAATAAAATTAACCTGTAAATTAAACATAAAAAATGTGTCATATTTAATGGTGGCTAGACGGAGAAGGTTTTGCAGCAATTAATTACATTTCTGTGACAAAACTTCCTCAAAAATAATTGTCCTCCTCTTTCATTTTAATGAAACGCAAATAATTTTCCTCCTCACATCTTAATGAAACGCTACAATTCTCATTCCAAGAAAGTACAAAAACCACTCCCAAATTTAATTAAATCTCAGGAAATTTGAATATTATAAATGAGGGAGTCTTTATAAGAATAAAGCCAATTCTGTTTAAGGTGCTATGTCAGGCTCTTTTTAAGCGCACTCGAATGGAAAATTTGGACAAAATATTCAAATCAAATAATTGGATTTTCGCAAATCAATAATTAAATTGTAAATACTTGACTTAACGGGGTTTTTCCAGAAGAATTTACACGTTTCCCTCTCCAAGACTTCTTTTATTTTATTACTAAATTATGATGTGATCGTCATGAATAATTTAATAGAGAGAAATAAAAGTATTATTAGCAAGACAGCCAAATGTACGCTATTTGAAAATAAAAAATACTTTCCATTCCGCCAAGCCGCGAATAAATAATCTCATAAATAATATGATAGCAAATCCGAGCTAATCTATCTCTATAGTTCCATTTTCATCAAAATTTCCCTCTTTTTTTATCTTGGAAATTTCCATTGAACACTCATGGTTGATTAGTCACATGAAAAGGGTTCAATGCGTTCTACTACTAAAATTTTGACTGGTTCGATGAACGCACGAGAGCCTAATTGCAAATGCCTACGATGATCAATGACGGAACATATATCAATTTCACCAAAGTTGCGAATCAAAGGCCTCCTCTCGCTTTGACTGAGATTTAATTGGCAACAATATATGTACAATTTCTACTTTCAAATTTATCTCACCAAAAAACAAGTTGAAACTTTGAACATTTGAGCTTGTGAACGCAGCACATTTCATTTCAGGAAAAGTTCTTTGTTAAAAATTCGACGGCGAAAAAGAAATTTATTTATAGTTTCGCTTTTGTTCGGTGTTTCTCTTGAATGAAAGGAACATATATTTTTACTTGCCACTCCAGAAAAGCAGGAAAAACTGTTAATATAAAATTAGAGACAGCCTGCTTTATCTTTTTTCTCAGCGCAACCATTTTGGAAAAGGAGCAAAGATCGTCCGTACAAGTTTTTATTTTGCCGCTGCCTTGCGACGAGCTTTGTGTATCGCTCCAGCCTTAAGCGAGTTTATTTGCACGTGTAGAGTCGCGAAAGTCGCACGACAAAAACACTGCACTTGTTTTCTCGAGGGCATTTTCCCAGCGTTAATACTTTAAAAGGTTTTCAACGAATGCATAATGGAGCAGAAAATCTGCAGTTTCTCCTTTGACTAAATTAAATATTAAAGTGTCCTCCGCCATGTTTGATATTAAAAATGTCTGCGTTTCATCCTTTCAATTCGCGTCTGGTAATAAATTTTAAAAACTTGATGTTTTCCATCGGCCATTAGCTTAACTCTGCTTGGGGTGATCGCTTTTTCATCAAAATAATGCCTCCTGTTTGTGGAAAATCCTTAATCTTCTTTTCCTCAAAACGCAAACTACTTTCCTGAGTTATAAAAGTTTTGCAATATTTTATCCCATGCATGAATTTTTGAAGCAAAATGCTCATTTTTAATAGGAATGGTTCGCACACAAAAATTTAAACATTTTGGTACTTTTACCTGATATTTTTTATTCTTAAAGTAACTTTAAGAAGCTGAAAATCGTCAAAAATTATAAATTTATTCTTATTGGAATTTTGCACTTGTCCAGGGCCAGTGGATTTTCGGGCCGGTGCTGTGTCACCTGGTCGCGTACGCGCAGGGCACCAGCGTGTACATCTCGACGCTGACGCTGACCTCGATCGCCGTGGACCGCTTCTTCGTCATCATCTACCCGTTCCAGCCGCGCATGAAGATGTCCACGTGCGCCGCCATCGTCGTTTTCATCTGGTTGTTTTCTCTGATGGCGACGCTTCCGTACGGCATCTTCATGTCGCACAACAACCGCGGCGGGCTGGACGCCGAGTTCTTCTACTGCGAGGAGGACTGGTACACCGAGGACTACCGCAAGGTGTTCGGCGCCTTCACCGCCCTCGCCCAGTTCGTCCTGCCCTTCTTCATCATCACCTTCTGCTACGTCCGCGTCTCGCTCAAACTAAACGACAGGGCCAAGTGCAAACCAGGTGAGATATTTTTACAATATGCAAATTTCTAAGAAAACTGTAGCAATTTTTTTCATTGTGAAATTTATAATGTAAATTACAAAAATATTGGGTTCCTTTTAAAAGAAAGAGTTTCAACATTTACTGGCACACGAAAACAAAAAAAATTGACAGTTACAATTTACTAAATTATCAATCACTAACTGAATTGAATGATACTAGAAGTATAATATATAACATATATTATCCTGATATCTATTAAAAGTGCCAAATAGTCATTAAGTCATATATTTATCCATGCATCAGTTAAAATTATGTACCCAACCCCTCCCAATATTGGGGAATATATTTTGAAAACTAAAATGTTCCAACTATTAAAACACTTTCTCGATATGTATAAAAGAAAAACGAAAAACGCTCTTTTTTAATTCAAAAACCTACACAAGGAAAACTAAATCAATATTTCCTTTAAAATCAGAATGTTGGTTTGAAAGAAAAATAGAGAATTTTACTGGAAAAGTTCACAATAGAGGTAGAATTCAAGTTTATTGAATTGAATCACTCCACGAACTTATGTTTGTTTCTCCAACTCGGTATAGAATGGTGAGTTCCGCTTCAGCAACAAATAGAGAACATTAAATTTTATGTCAAGTTTATGTAATTTTGGCATAAATTTAAAATTAGTTAGCTGCAGGGTCCATTTCTGAGTGGCATTTTGAAGATTAGTGCCATTCCACAGCAGCTCAAAGGATTCACTGCGCTTTTGATCTTTTTGAAGACCATCAGAACCAGAGAAAGGGAAGAGAATAAACATGAGGAAAGATTCCTTTCGCGAGATAAACAATTTACATCAAAGCTGCCTTAATATATAATATTATGCAAAGTGACGTGTGGGCGTTGAAAGTGAAATTCGCCACACGTCTAATAACAGAGGTAAATCCGGGAACGAGAATTATTGTTCGCTTGGTTGCTCAAGATATTTAATCTAAATCTCTTCTCGAACCGCAATTTCAGGCGAGAGAGAGAATTATTTGCACATGGGGTTTGTATTAAATTAGACCGAAATTAAGCAGCTCGTTATCGGCCCTTGACAAACTATAAACTCCGCGCATAATCGGATGAGCAGGGCAGAAATATGCAGCCGAACAATTTCTATTTGAGCACAGAGGCTGTTTATAGACTTTGACGATGGCACTTTTCGTCTGCTGGTATTTGACACGAGGCCATTTATGCTGCGCGATAAAACATGGACGCTTTGGTTTGAAGGGTTTTATGTCAACCAAACCGACAAAGTTTTAGATGCGACTGGCAGATTAAACCGCGCAGAATGAAGGATGTAGGATTCCACCCTCTGATATATAATTTTGCACCGTACTTTCCTTGTTTATATTTAACTAATTTGATACCAGAGTAGGAATTTCTATAATTTGGTCTGTTTAATTGTTTAATAACAAATTTTAAAACGAACATCAATCATATGCGAGTTTGCGGCTAAAAATGTATTTTTTTTTTAGAGGTTTTCGTTTTAAGTCTAACAACAACTTTTCAACTTAAAGTTAGAGTACATGTGCTATTGTGCTATGTGAAAAAATATCAACGTTCTGGCTTTAAAAAGTCGAAATAACGCGAAAAATTTGAAATTTTCATTTATTGTCTTATGTTTGAAACAAATTGATCGTCTCAATTTTACTTAAAATTGCATAATTCGTCATTAAATAATAATTTTAAATAAAAGTTTAGGAAAAAAAGGGAAAAAATCAATCAACTTAAAAAAAAAAAAAAATTGTTTTTTTCTTAATAGGCGCAAAAAACTCGCGTCGCGAGGAATTGGACCGCGAGCGGAAGCGGCGCACAAACCGCATGCTGATCGCGATGGTGACCGTTTTTGGGGTGTCCTGGCTTCCCTTGAACATGGTCAACCTGATCAACGACGTCAACGAATCGACCGGCGACTGGCCATACTACAACCTGTGCTTCTTCATCGTGCACGCCATCGCAATGAGCTCCACCTGCTACAACCCTTTCCTCTACGCCTGGCTCAACGAAAACTTCCGCAAGGAATTCAAACAGGTCAGCCTCAAATTTAATCTCCCATATCATGTAGTAAAATTATATATTTAATCTAAATTTCGCCAAATTTACTGTTTATTGAAGTTTTGAAACTAATTATTAGGAAATCAGAAAACAATAAATACACATATGGAGAAAATAATAATTAAATACTTAAAAGTTTATAAATTTGAATAATTTTTAGTGAGTTTCTATTTCTATACTTTGTGATTTCTTGCTCTAATCCTTGGAATCACATAATATTTTCATTAAACTTTGATCTCGTTCAAAATTTGTGAGCTTTGGTAACATTTCTTCAGCTTCAAAAACAAATTTACCTCTTGAAGCTTCTACGAATTTCAACTTAATTAAAAACAGAGTTCGGTAAACATGTTTTGATAAAGGGCCTAGAGGGGTGAAAGTCGTTTTGAGAAGATCACTGGTGGGATATCAGATAAATATTTATGTAACTAATTTAAATATTTTGTATGAAATTTAATATTGAACAAGTAATTAATTAACTATCAAAATTATCCAAGACGCAAAGTCTTTGTTTGTTAACTTAATTAGGAAAGTAAATATCAATATCTCCATCGATTTTTTCTAAACATAACTCAATTCTTGATTTAAATTCAACTTTTTTACATAGGATTTGGTCAATCCTATATGAACTATAACTTTGAATTATATTTAAATTGATTATTTGTAAGGCTTTCGCTGAACTTTTCTTTAGAAAATGATAAAAGGCAATGGGGTGAATTAAATTCAAGACTAAATGTATTCAGTAATTTACCTTTTGCTAAAGTATTGTACATTCAATGAAGTTTGAAATTTTTCCCTGCATGTGAAATAATTAATAATTATTTTATTGTTTTATTTACATTGAAGTTCATATAATAAAAATTAAATAAAAATATCCCAAATACAAAAATAATATCAAAGATAATTTTCACATCATTTTTGTATTTATTATTATTTTTTTGCATGCCGATTGAGATAAATGTCGTGATATGAGAGGGTTGAAGAATTTCTCGCAGGTGCTGCCATGCTTCGAGCGGCAGACGGGCCTCAACGGGGGGCACAACGGCCCAAACACTGCGTCGGTGGCGCTGACCAGCGGCCACCGCAAGTCACTGGGCGGCAGCCAGAAGAACAAGGGCCGCTCGGTGGCGGCGGCCACCACGACGGCCACCACGGACGCCGGCGGCCGCGACGAGCTGGCCAACTCGGTGCAGGAGGAGGTGCCCCTCAAGGCCACCTACGCAAAGGGCGACGACCACGTTCACCTCCAACTCCATCACAACGACGACCTGCGGCCGACGGCCAACGGCCATGACGCTTCTACCGTCGACCTCGAACAGCTGCGGCTGCCGGCGGACGCGCATTTGCTTGACAGGGACGCCCTGCAATGCGACCCGCAAATTGGCGCCGATTTTATTTAAGGTAAGAAATTTTATTTTTTGTTTTTAACGCATTCTACATATTATTCTTCTTAATTTCAGTTTTTATTGTTTACAATTACAAAGCTGCAACTTCAATTATTTTACATATTTTTAATAAATTATGCAGAAATGAGGCACTTCTGCTTCTGTACACGTTTAAATGTTTGTTGAAATTTTCTCAAACGAGGAAATTTGCTAACAAAAGTTATACTTTTAGGGAAATATTGACATTTCTTTAATTGGGTGAATTTTTGAGCGCAAATGTAGCAAATATTTTAACTAAAACATACATCCTGGCAACAAATTTGTTTGAATTTATGAAATGGAAAGGCTTAAGCTTTGTAGGGACATCCACAAACATTAGGAAGTTTTAATAAATTTGTTTACATAACAATTCTCTGAACTCACTGATGTCGACGTTTTGCATCAACAAACTTTTAGTTCCGCAACTCTTAATACCCTTTGAGAATCGCTCCAAATTATCCTGTCCACAACGTAAATAGAGCAACCTTTCTTATGTGAGAATACACCTCTGTCCACATTCTACTGGTTTAATGATCATGTGTTCTCTGAAGCATTAAAATTCAGGAACTACAATTTTTGTATGCCACAAAGGATATGTGATTACAATTTTTTTAATCTGTCAGAAACGGAACGCTCGGTTTGAATGCTGCCTGAAAAAGGGTATAATATTGCATGCCGTAAAATCCGTTTGACGTCACATGAGGGACTTAATATCAAATTTCCAGAAATTTCAAAATGTTCATATTCGAGAATCAAAGCGTGTGTCTGGAATAATATGTCAGCACTGCTCATTTTGAGAGCTCGGAGAAGAAACGAGCTTCACAGAATAAGTTGGGGTGACTTTTTCATCTGGCACTTGAGGGGCGCCCACTCAGCATACCTTAGAGGAGGCACAATTAATGAAGCAAACGTGCGCCACTCGCGATCGTTAAGGACTTGAGAAGACATGATTGGCACGTCGAACTTTTTTCAGGGACCGACTTGGAGCTGCTTTTGTCAAGTACCAAAATAGCGTCAACTTTTCCGGGGATGAGCACCAAAGTGGGGTGCAGTCAAAAAACCCAAACCGAAATTGCTTTTTAAACGCGAGCCATTTTGGCGCTGAAGCCATCCGCGCTCTGCGATAAATTAATCGCAGCGGCAACGAGACGATGAGAAACTTCAAACGATTTGCTCGAGGGCCCACATTTGCCTAAGACGCGTCCTTAATCCAATCAAGCATTCAAATGTGCACATCTCAGAAGACGCGAAATTAGGTTTTGGTGGGCTAAATTTTAGCTGCATTATGAGATGCAAATCGTGATTTTCGCTTGGGTGATTCTTTTGAAAAGGACACTGTAATTTTATTTCAATTGAATTTAGATTTTTGAGCAAAATAATTGAAATAATAAGACATATTTGTTCTCAAGTTCTATAGAAGTAAAGATAAAAATACTCATATATTTTGGTACTAATCTCTAAATAATCCCAATATCTTTTATTAATTTTTAATTTAAGAAAAGAAAAAAATCGCATATTTTTGAATGATCAATTTTAGTTAAATTGTTATCAAATAAAAAAAATCTAAAAGGCGTTATACTAACCAAATTAACAATCTCTCAGCCCAGTGTTTAAATAATTTCGGGTAATATTTCTTGTAGTTACTAGAAATTTCCGTGTATAATTGAGTTAGTTCAGGAGCAGCAAGCACGTGCACAGTTTGAATTGAGTGGTTTCGGTGCAATTAAATTCTCGCTCGAAGCACTTTCCTGGAAAAACAAATTCTGAAAATGGAGATGACGGTACAGCTTCAATTCTTTCTCCCTTTCCTCTCTCGTCAGCATACATTTTAATTATTCGAGAGATTTTGCAAGTCTCAATATTCTTTCCTTGAGCATAGTTGTAGTATTATAGTGAGAGAAAAAACAATTAACTCTAGATGATTTAATCGGAAAAAAATCCAGATGAAACTTTGCTTTAAAAGTATGGAAATTGGAATATAAAAATAATATTTATTTCTTAGGAAATTTTGTATTTCGCTGACAACTGACAAATCAATTACACTCCGCTTCCAAAGTTCCGATCTGACCGCAATCGCTTTTCAATATCGGCGGGGCGCGTAGAATGTTGACACAGCAGCCGAGCAGAGTGACGACTTTTTTCCACCCCCAGAAGCTACCCCTTTCCTTTATTCTGTTTGCTTGGCGAAAAAAAATCGGCAGCGGCGGTCAAAAGTCTGGAGAGAGAGCTGTGGCTGATAAAGAGGGCCTTGTATGCGATAGTAGTGACGTACGTTTTATTTGTTGTTTTGCCAGCCGGACCGGCACAGCACTTGATATCGGCCGACGAGCTGGCTCGAGTTTTTTTTTATCAGCGCAGATCCATCATGCTTTTGCGTCGCTGCTGCTTTTACACGCTATTAATTTTTTTATTTGTTTAATAATATACACAGTAAAAAATTTACGCCCTCACTTTTTGTCGCAGTCTTTTTTCGACCTCCCTCGGCTGTCTGCAACAAAAACTGCGTGTTCCTGGAAAAAGCTTTTTTCGAGAGAGCCGCGCTTTAATTAAATGTCACGCATTTTTCCCTGAAGGTTTGTTTAACTCACCGCGCTTCGAATTCTGTCACCAAATTAAACAAGAAGGAAACTCCAAATAATAAAAATTAATCATTGAATGTAGTGAAGAATGTAATTATTTTACAAAATTTTTATTTAAATTAATTCTTGTGACTAATCGCCTCTTGACGTGGAATTACGTTCCGAGACTGTTTGCAACAAGCACTAAGCTAAAAGTTTCGTTTTGATTTAGCTCATTCAGATTAAATCTGTCGTCTAAATTATTAAATTTATTTCATATAAAAGATTCTATGTATTAAGTTTATTTTTATCTCTGCATTTTAAATTTTTTGAGGTTTGGTTGAATATAAAATTTTCTTTTAAGTGAGCTGAATAATTTAATATTTACTTTTTATTACTGAATGTCAAAAGCATTCAAACCTTGGAGTCAAAGTTAATGTTCAAAAGTTTTAACGAAATTATGGAAAATCAGGATAAACCCAAGAATAATTAATTTTATCAAAAAGTTTTTTAAATAATGAAATATATTTAGACTAAAAGACATTTTGAAAGATATTTGATCAATTAAAGTAAACAATTTAGAAATGTTGCGAAAAGCTCTTATTTCTAAACTAAAATTCAGCACTTTCATTAATCTTTTATAGCCTCTTGCTCAGTAAATTAATTAAAAATTACAAATAAATTGGGGAAAAAACGTGCCAACCCCTAATTGATGCGTTTTTTTTTTACAATTTTCAATTAATTGAGCGTAACCACAATTTTCCACAATGGCACGTTGTAGTGCTTCATTAGTCTTTTGTTTCCTCTCGCCTCTTTATTATTTTTGCAATGGAATATTAATGACGTTTTGAATTCATCGAATTTTGTAAAACGCCCTTTGATCGCCAGCACAACGAATTCCTGCAAACTCATGAAAATGTATCGACAGGCCTCTCTCTCTCGGATGCAAATTTCAGCAGGGCAGCTTTCCGTAAAACCGCAGGAGTCCTTTGTGCTTGAGCCTGGTCCGTTTTTGATCCCTGCAAAGGAAAGTCTGTCAGAGGGCAGCGCTTTCTCATTTGTCTGGAAAAAATTCACCCCAGTGGGTAGACGTAATGAAGTCTGTCAAGCGAAAACAGAAGGGTCCAGCTCTAAACTAATTCAAACCACTGCATAGAAAACTTACAAAGTCCCTGTCGGTGGTCCAACAAAAACTTTCACTCTATTCAAATCATTGTTATTTCTGCTTTTATTAAACATTGGGTTGAATTTTTCACAAAACAATGCAATAAACATAAAAGAAAATTGTGATCTCTCCATTCTTCTTTCCTTTTTAACAAAATACACCAATAAAATAATTGCTAAAAAGAATTTACATTATAACGAGTAATTATATAAATTAACTGTTGAAGAATTAAGTTAATTAAAAGAGCGAGTTGTTTGGACTTAGGAAGTTTGGATTAAATGGGGTCAGCGGCTCGGACTTGTGTTGAGAAGTTTCTTCGTGAGAAAACTAATTCTGCCGCCACCATTGATGTGCCAACGCCAACACACTTTTGTGTTTATAGAGCCGCGTTAATGGTATTAATCAACAAATGCGCCCGGCATTTGTTACAAAGTCGGGTAAAAACTACTTTTGCATGCAATCCATCTTTTGTTTCTTTTCCTCCAGACGCGAATATTTCCTCCAGCATATTTAATCATAAAGTTTTATCTGCACTTGGCTCGCCGAGTTTCTTTTTATCAGAATTTTTCTGCATATTTCTTGAGCTGTAACTGGGTGTGATGAATTGGATTGGGATTATATATGACATTTACGTAGCGCTTCTTGTGAACGCGTCGGATGTTTACACAGATTCGCCAAATTTGTTCAAGCAATTTATTCCTTTACATCTTGACTTTTACATATCTTAAAAAAGAGATCAGAGTTTCCATACTGAAATATCATGTCAAATGGATTCTGCTTTTTAGATTTTTATTATTTATTATGCCTCACAATTCTCACATATGCTGCAAAAAAAGAGAGCTAGGGGAAACACAAAATTTGAAGAAACGGCAACATCTCTGGTAAATACGATAAAAAGTTTAAATTGCTTGGTTTTCGCACTTGTAAATTCCTCGTTAAATTTTTTTCTTTGTGTAGGAAATGAAAATATATGAACAAAGAGTTGTAAAGTTTTCTATTTTTCCCTTTTTATGTTGCATTGCATACGAGTTGTGCTCAATTAAAAAGTATTATTTGAAACCAAAAAAATCAATTAGTTACAACAAATTCTATTAAAAAGATTGATATCCATTGCATTTAAAGTAGAAAATTTTTGAATTGAATGAAAAAATAAATTGTGCACATTTGCTTAAATCGCGTCCTTTCTTCTCACAATCGAGGGAATTGTGCCAAACGCAATTATGCTTTCTCAAGAGTTGGAGAGTGTGTGCTTTT